ATCAAATAACATTAGTTATGCCAAAGTTTTTCCTTTTTGTGTTGAGATACACAGTAAAGTGTGCAAGTCTTCAGTGTTCATAATTTAAAAATTATGTGTATATATCAGCTTATCCACCTTCTAGATCAAGATATAAAATGTTCAGTCCGGCTCGAAGGACCAAAAAAAAAATGTTCATGAAACTCCATACCACTCTTTTTGTGCTATGCCTCACCTTCTCAGAAGGGAACCATGCTTCTGAAGTTTATAGATCATAGATTTATTTGTTGTTTGTGAATTTCATATAAATGGGATAATACCACATGTGTCTTTTTGTATCTGGCTTTTATCACTCTATCATGTTTGTGAAATTTATATTGTTGTATCATCAGGTTTTAAAAAAGATTTTATCTATCTATCTATCTATCTATCTATCTATCTATCTATTTTAGAGAGAGGAGGAGGGAGAGAAACATCAACTGGTTGCCTTTTACATGCAGCCAACCAGGGACCTGGCCTATAACCCAGGCATGTGCCCTGACCAGGAATCAAACTGGCAACCCTTGGTTTGTGGACAATGCCCAATGCACTGTCCCCACACCAGTCAGGGAAGTTTGTTATTTTTTAATGCTTTATTACTGTATGTATGTATTCCATTTATTAACTTTATTGTTGATGGACATTTTGATTGTTTTCCATTTTGGGCTATTTTTTGAACGATATGGCAGTGAACATCTTTGTACATATATTTTAATGGACATAAACTATTTTGGAGGAGGTTTGATAGTAGCTCATTGTAATTTTGATTTGCATTTTGTTGATGACTAATATTATTAGTTAACTGTTACTGCTTAATGAACAACTTGAAAATTGCCAGTGATGTACGGTAGTATATATTTGTTGGTCATGATTTTGTGGGTCAGCTGGGATAGCCCTGCTCTATATAGCTCATATACTGAGGACTAGTACGCTAGATTGAAGCATGTTCTCATGGTGGCAACACAGTGCAAAGAGGCATACCTAGCTGGCTAAGCATATTTCAAGACCTTGTTTACATCATGTATGCTGACTTCCCACTCTTCAAACTAAGTCATGTGGCTTAGCCCAAATTCAAGGGGTTGGAGGTATACTTCTCCAACAGACATTAGGAGGTACTGAATATTTTTGAATAATCTAATCTGTAACAGATGTTGAGTTCTTTTTCATCATACCCTATTGGTCATTTAGATATCCTCTTTTCTTCAGAGCCACTCTTCCATATATATTTCTTGGCATGCTTACTGTATCAGTGATCTTAATTACCTCCATAGAAAGAACTTTGATTACTTGCTCATTTTCAAATTATTGTTGAAAATAGCACTTATAGGAAGTCAAATAATGAAAAATTGATGAGAAAGTCAGTTGCAATTCTATTAACCAATGTCACCCCAATAAATTTAAAAAAAAAGGAAAAAAAAAAGAAAGTCAGTTGCAAAAGGAAAAAAGCTGTGGATACCTCTGATGAAAAAGATTGCTACTCTTTAGTGGGGAAGTCAGACAATAAACAAAAACCAAATCTATGTAGTGCATCAAACTCTTGAGACAGACTCATAGATAGCAGGGTGACAGGTAAGGGGGTGGAGGGATTGAGTAAAAAGGAAAAAGGACTCATGGACATGGACAACAGTGTGATGATTGTGGGGGGCAGGAGGGTGTAAGGGGACCAAGCTAATAAAGAAATACAGTAAGGAATTATCAAATAAAAATAACAACAAAAAATAGGATTAGGAAGGTAGAGTCATGAAAGAGGGTTATTTTAGATACGGTAGTAAAGAAAAGCCTCACTGAACAGTTGGCATTTGAAAAGAGACCTGAGTGTTATAAAAGAAGGTCCAGGCAGAGGGAGCAGGAAGTGTGAAGGGTCTTGAAGCAGGAATAAGCTTTAACACAGATACAAAAGACCAGTGAGGCTGGATACGTAGTGAGGGAAAGATGAAGTTAGGTCACAGTAAGAGGTTTCACTTTTACTGTATTTTTCAAACTATAAGATGTACTTCCTCCCAAATCTGGGAGGAGGGGAGGGTGCATTTTATAGTCCAAATGTAGCTCACCTGGCTTGCTGTGGGAGGACGTGGTGGCAGTGGAGCTGGGTCACTACTGCAGGAAGTCAGCAGCATCAGGAGTGGGGTGATGCTGTGGGCCCTGGTCTGGGAGGAGAGGGTGTCCCAGTGGTGCAAAGCAAGGGAAGCAGGAGTGGAGTCCCCGCTGTGGCATATTATAGTGCTAGGGAGGAGGGTACAGGTGGTGCAGGCATGTTAGGAGAAGAAAGCCTGCAATTCCGTATGTGCCTCCATCATGTGACTGGTGTGTCCCCCATTAACATTAACTTAGGCAAATTCCACTGTAGGGTCAGGCCCTGCAGCTGTTGCAAAACTACAACTCCCATCATGCTTGGACAGGTTGGGATGATTGGAGCTGTAATTTGGCAATAGCTGCAGAGCCACACAGGTTGTGCAGAAGTGCTGTCCCCATGCAAGAGTGTTGCACAACCCGTGGCCCTCCAGCAGCAGATCCCCCCATAACAGTGCGTCATCCACTGATGGTCACAGCTACAGTGCCCCCATAACTATGAAGTACACAGTGCTAATAGATCTGTCATTACTGTATTTGTTGTAGAAAGATATGATAGTGTACCATGGTCTCCTGCTGAATCTACCGTAATTGTGGAAAGATGTCAAAGCAGAAAGGGATTTCATATAAAATTGCTTTTAAACTGGAGGTAGTGAAGTACGCCAAAGAACATGGGAATAGCAGCGGAGAGACACTTTGGGCCACCTCCAACTGAAAAAGTGATATGGAATGGAGGAAACAGGAGGATCAACTGCAGAAAACAGGCAAAACAAAACAATGTTTTCGTTGGCATGCTGCAAAATGGCCACAGTTAGTAGTGGATATGAAAGAGTGAATCATACGTCATAGGAACAGTGGCTTTTCGGTATCTACACAAATGATCATATATGAAGCCAAATGTCTTGCTGCAGAGAAAGACATTGAGGACTTCACTGGATCACCCTCATGGTGCCACAGGTTTATGAAGAGATGTGGCCTTGCTATGTGCACTAAAACTAGGATTGCACAAAAAATGCCTGTAGAATATGAATCCAAGATTGTGTCTTTTCACAAATTTGTACTGGATGCAGGAAAGAAAAATGGATTTGAAATAAGCCAAATTGGGAACATGGATGAAGTCCCGTTAACCTCTGATGTTCCATCAGACAAGACTGTTGATGTGAAAGATGCCAAAACCTTAACTGTGAAAACCTCAGGGCATGATAAAACCCATTACACAGTTGTGTTGTTCTGCTGTTCAGATGGCACCAAACTGCCACCAATGCTGATTTTTAAGAGAAAAACATGCCAAAAGAGGCAGTCCCAAGAGGAGTTGTTGCTCATGTTCATGACAAAGGATAGATGGACAAAAATGGCATGAAGACATGGATAGAAAAGGTGTGGTCAAAACGTCCTGGAGGGCTTCTGAAAAAACCTGTTCTATTAGTGCTTGACCAGTTTAGGTCACATATCAATGAAGCCACAAAAAAGAGATTTAAAGAAGAGAAAACCCATCTAGCCATAATTCCCGGGGGGCTTACCAGCCAGTTGCAAACTTTGGGTGTTTTCATCAACAAGCCATTTAAAGTTTTTATGAGAGAAGAGTGGAACAAATGGATGGCTGGTGGAGACCGTGACCTGACACCAACTGGACAAATGAAGAGGCCCACTATTACCCAAGTTTGTGAGTGGGTGAAAACCTCATGGCAGTCAGTTAAGGATGAATCCGTTGTGAGGTCCTTCAAAAAATGTGGCAGATGCCTTAGATGGCTCTGAAGATGACATCCTCTATGAACAGAGTGAAGACAGTGATACTAGTGATTCTGAGGAACTGAACTTCATAAATGTGGACAGTAGTGATGAGGAGTGCTTGGGGTTCCCCGATGATTAGGGGAGTTTCTGTACTTAAACCTCAAAGTCAGTAATAATGGTTGTTGATGCTGCTCTTGAGTTCTGGTTGCATCTACATTGGTGGAATATTATGTTATTTATGTTATTAAATATTTCCCACATTTTTTGCTTCAAAATTTTTTTCCTGTTTTCTTCCTCTAAAATCTAGGTGTGTCTTATGATCCAAAAAATACGGTAATTTGTGTTATGGAGAACAGCTGAAGGTTGTGGCGTGTTTCGATTTAGAAGGCTGTTAGAAGGTGACACTGTCAGTAGTGGAGCCATGATAGAAGCACGTTCTTTCACTAATTCAGATGAGAGGACAGTGGTAGAGATGGGAATGTTTAAAAAAAGGGTTAGATTCAGGATATATTTTAAGGGCAGACCAATTATTATTTACTGATGGATTGAATATAAGGAGAATGTCCTTACAGAATTTCTTACAGAGGAGGGGATGGGAAAATTTTATAGTAAAGCATTAGTCAGGGTAGACTAACTGCTGTAACTCAACAACTCCCAAGTATCAATGGTGCTGCACAATAAAATTTTATTTTTTGTTTACATCACAGTCCAAAGTAAGTGAATGGAAGTGGATGATGGGTAGGCGTTCTTCTCCATGTGGTCATTTTGGGCCCAGGGTCCTTCCATCTAGTGGCTCTGTATTCCTTAGGGCCTTAGAGCTTTCCCCTGGATCCTCGCCATTGTTTCAACAGAGAAAAGCAGCTCCCTTTTTAGGGGCTTTTACTGGCTCAGCCTGAGAGGGCTGTTCATCACCCCTGTGCATATATTATTGACTTAGGACTTGGTTACATGACCACATGTAACTTAAGTGCAAGGAAGCTTGGAAAATATAGTCTAGCTGTGTACCTAGAAGAGGAGGAAATGGGTTTGTAAGACTATTTGGGGACTTTTGAAAAACAATCATTACAAAACACACAGTTTATAGTGTTTAAAAATATAAATATTTACATATGTAAGTTGCACATACTTAAAAAAGTTTTTTTTAATCCTCACCTGAGGACAATTTTTTCATTGCTTTTCAGAGAGAGAGAGGAAGGGAGAAAGAGAAGTACCAATTGGTTGCCTTCCATACGTGCCTGAACTGGGGACTGAACCTGCAATCTAGGTATGTGCCCTGACTGGGAATTGAACCCACAACCTTTTGGTTATGGGATGGCACTCCAGCCAACTGAGCCACACTGGCTAGGGCAATAAGTTGCATATATATTTATATATGTGATTATATGTCATTATGGTAATAACTATATTTATTTGTAGAACATTTAAATTGTAAGTATTAAAATAGTGAAGAAAAGTGAATATTAGCTCTCGAACACCACTTTCCGAGAGTTGTTTTATAAAGTAAGTTCAAAGTGTTTAATAGCTCTCTCCCCATGAAATTTATAGCTGTAATGAAATCACTATTGTCTTCCATAGGTGGATGTTGTTTCATCCTTTTAACTGAATTTCTAATTTAAAGGAAACTGTAATTTCCAACTTTGTTTTCTTTCTTCACCATAGTTTTCCTCTATAATTAGCCTCTTCTAACTTAGTCCAGTGAATAACATCATGAGCTGACCTATTCTGAACCACACCCTACTGACCACAGCAACTGTCCACCACATTGTTTCTCTCTGTTAACATGTACTTTTGAAATAACTACTTTGGGATAGAGAATAAAAGGAATAATTTTCTTCATAAAAGCTTCAGGAATGTCTGATTATTATGTAAGTGCCAGTAATGTGCTAATTCTTTGCATGCATAGTTTTGTTTTCACATTTATTGCCATATTATTATTGAATAATTTCCCTGTTGATTTGAAATGCCACCTTTTATCATAAATTTCATAGATTTTTTTGTTCTTTAAGCCTTAGTATTCTGACTGGAAAGGTAATGTTCCCTCTCTTAGAGAGTTGATGTTCAACTCAAATGAGATAATGCACTTCAAACTTACTTTTGGTGAAAACTGTAAAAGGAAATTTTGAAGATTTCTCAAAAGCCTAATATTTTTTTTTGTGTGTGTATATATATGTGTATGTGTGTATACACACATACACACACATACACACACCATTTCGTATTTTGTGGTTTTACACTTGGCATTATATTGCACATTCCTTGCCACATTTCTTCCTAGTTGGCTATCTAACTCTGTTTAATTCTTTAGTTTAAATAGTGAATTTGGATGTCATGGAGGTACTGCCTTATTTGAATCTGTTTGATTTTTCATGTTTGGATAGCAAATAGCATGATAATGAAGGGAGTATGTACAAGTTTATTCAATATATTTGGTTCCTGAGTTTAGAGTGAGATTTTTTGATATCATAAATTTGGATAACAAAGGATACCTATAGTCTCAAAGGGTATGGTGCTGAAATGGTATCTATTGTAGTGGGTTCTTTTTTTTTTTTAAAGACTTTATTTATTTTTAGACAGAGGGGAGGGGAGGGAGAAAGAGAGGGAAAGAAACATCAATGAGTGGTTGCCTCTCGCTTGCCCTCCACTGGGAACCAGGCCCATAACCCAGGCACGTGCCCTGACTGGGAATTGAACTGCAGACCCTTTGGTTTGCAGGCGGGCAGCACTCAATCCACTGAGCCACATCAGCCAGGGCTGTAGTGGGTTCTTTTGATTACAGAGGGCAGAAACCAAACTGACAGTGGCTCAGGGCATAAAAGGGAATTGTTTGGTACATTTAACAAGGAAGTTCAGTGGTTGAGTGTATTTGAGGCATAGCTGCTCTCAGTGGCTCAAACAGTTTTGATAAGGTTTTGCCACATGTTCATTCTCTTTTATTGCAGAGAAGCTTTTTAAATGCATTCAGGGAAGATAGCTGCCAACAAATCCTAAGTTTACAGTAGGTCCCCCTTATCTATGGGGCATATGTTTCAAGACCCCCCAGTGGATGCCTTTAAACCACTTTACTCGTCCTTTGTATGATGATGTAAAATGATATGTTGCTTATATGATGAGATGAAGTGAGATGAATGATGTAGGCATTATGACATAGTGTTAGGCTTTTTTAACTTTATGTCAGAAAAAGGATTATCTGCTTTTGGGTAATCCTGGGAAATTGAGTCCTGAGCTACTAAGTAACTAATGGTTGAGCAGCTTATATAGTGGGAATACACTGGACAAAAGGATGATTAATGACCTGGGCCAGACAGAGTGGGACGGTATAAACTTTCATCACACTACTCAGAATGACACACAATTTAAAACTTAAGAATTATTTCCTTTGGAATTTTCCATTTGATAGTTTTGGACAGTGGTTGACTGTGGTAACTAAAACCTCAGAAAATGAAACCATTTAAGGAGTGGGGTTACAAATGTACATGTTTTTAGATTAGCAGCTCACCTAGAAAAAAAATTCCTTTCCTAATAGTTGCAGCAAAGTTCTAGTATAGTGAGTGCCACCATTGCTAGGGGGAATGGAATAAACTGACTAGGCCTGGGTCACAACTAGTATGACCCTTCTACCCTAACTGGGGCATGAGTTTAATACAAATAACAAGGGAGGAGAAATAGTTCTTCAAAGGAAAACACAGAAGGTATAGATTACCTACTGGGCAGACTAAATTGATAGTCGTTCATGTACCTGTGCTACAGTGTGTCATATGGTAACTTATTTCTTCCGTCACCTTTTCTTTAGTTGAAATACTACAAAATGTTTTTTCTTTCTGCCCCTTTGGCTTTGGCATAGTACATGTAAAAGGGGGCTCTTATATCGTATCCAGTGATGATCAGCTGATGTGTACTCTTGTCACATCTGACCTGAAAAACTGTTTTTCAACACATTATTTTTTTCCACAAGAAGAGATAGTGAAAGGTACTACCTGTCTACTTTTTTTTTTTAAATCTTCATTTGAGGACTTTTCTTTTTCCATCACTTTTTAGAGAGAGAGGAAGCAGGGGTTGGGGGAAAGAGAGAAAGAAACATCAGTATGAGAGAGAAACTCGATTGGTAACCTTCTCATATTTGCTCTGACTAGGGATTGAACCCACAATCTGGGTATGTGCCTTGACTGGGAATCAAATTTATGACTCTTTGGTCTACGGGATGACACTCCAACCAACTGAGCATACTGGCCAGGGCTTGTCTACTTTTGACTTAAATCTCATTTAGTCTTGCTTACCAAACAACCTTGGATTATAAGTTAGACTTTTCCTTCCTTAAGTTTTCAGTATCTACTTCCATGCTTAATTCTTGTTTATAGCCCTAAAGATGTGTTCCCAAGCTCCTAACATTTTACTCATATGTCTCTTTCATTTATAGAATATTTACTCAATACTGGCTAGTCTACTTACTTGTCAATCTATCACTTTCCTTAATTTATAGTCTTTTTCTGTTTCCTACTTTTCAGGGTCACCAGTGATATCCAGAGACCTTTCTCTCAGATCTAAACCTAGAATTACAATACATAAGAGCTAAAAGGGACCTAATAGATATTTAACTCAATTTTCTTTTTCTACTTTGCTTGATGTTATGTTGGATTATACTGACGTTTGGCTAGAATTTATATGGTATTTCTTCTCTTTTTTTTCTTTCTGATTCTCTTTCTTCATATTACAGATGTGTGTCTGCTGACAACAGCATATAAATTAAAAAAACCTGGTCTGATGATCTCTGTCTTTTAATGGGAGTATTTACACTTAATACAGTAACATAATATTTTGTTTGCTTTCCACTTGTTCTATTTTTCTAACTCTCCCCTTTCTTGCTTTGTTTTTTGAATTGATTATCATTCTACTTTTTCGCTGTATTGGGAAGTTATACTTTTTTTTCCTATTTTTAGTAGTTACCCTGGAATAGGGGTTGGCAAACTTTCAAAGCTACATCGTAAATATTTTTGGCTCTGTGAACCATATGGTCTCTGACCCAACTACTCATTTCTGCCATTGTAATGCAGAATATCTATAGATATAGGTAACTATAATTATAGATAAAGGACTAGGTAAAATAATTCAGATAGAAGACCACTGAACTTCTGGCTAAGATGGAGGTGTAGGTGGAAATACTGTACCTCCTCACACAACCAAACTTAAGGACAACAAAGATTTAGAAACAAAAACACAACCAAAACAGACAGAAAAATTGAACTGTACCAAAGTCCGACAACAATGAACCATTCATCCAGACTGGTAAGAGGGGTGAGTTGGCGGCCAGCAGAGAGGGGTCCCAAGGAAAAAGTGGTGGTTAGCGGACCTGGGCGCAGGGATGAAACTAGCAAACCCAGTAAGGCTCGCAAGGCGGCTGGCTGACTGGATACACATTTGTGAGCAGATAAACCAGGCAAAGAAAAAAAACAAAACAAAACAGGCAGTGAGACTGTGCAACCCATGGCCCCAGCAATGGGAAATAAAGCCTAAAAGCACCGATTGGAAAAATTTCTGAGGGTCGAGGTGCTGGGAGAGGCTCCCAGCCTCAAAGGAGAGTTCGTTGGAGAGACCCACAGGGTCCTAGAATGTACACAAGCTCACACATCCAGGAACCAGCACCAGAAGGGCCCAGTTTGCTTGTGGGAAGCAGCAAAAGGGACTGAGGTCCGAGGGAGAACGGAACAAACTCCATTGCTTTCTCTCTGACCCTGTCCCCAATCACAACCCAGCTACTGAGCTGGCCTGCCCTGGTAAACACCTAAGGCTCCGCCCCTCATACATAACAGGTGCAAACAGACCAAAACATGGCTCAAGCAGAAGAACAGCTCAAAGCCCCAGAGCCAATACTTCTAAGCGATGAAGAAATAGCCAACCTATTGGATGCATAGTTCAAAACACTGGTGATCAGGATGCTCACAGAACTGGTTGATTTTGGTCACAAATTAGATGAAAAAATGAAGGGTACAATAAGTGAAATGAAGGAAAATGCATAGGGAACCAATAGTGATGGAAAGAAAACTGGGACTCAAATCAATGAGGTGGACCAGAAGGAAGAAAGAAACAAACAACCAACCAGAAAAGAATGAAGAAACAAGAATTCAAAAAAATGAGGAGATGCTTAGGAACCTCCAGGACATCTTTAAATGTTCCAACATCCAAATTATAGGGGCACCAGAAGGAGAAGAGGAAGAGCAACAAGTGGAAAACTTACTTGAACAAATAGCAAAGGAGAACTTCCCCAATCTG